ATTGCCATAGACTTGGAAACAGAACCCATAGCTCTAGTCCTAGACTATTTTCTTAAGTACACCACCTGGTGCTGAGATTCAGCACCTCCTGCCTGAGAACCTGGGTAGGTGCTGGACAGGATGGGCTCTCATTCGCACATTCACCAATGGCAAAGAAACCTCTAGATTTTGAACTGGGAAAGRAGAGGTTCATTCATGTAAATTTAGTAAAAAAAAAAAAAAAAATGCCTAAAAGATGAATTCTCCAAATCTCTGATCCTAGCTTACTGTAGTCAAGAACCACTCTCTGAGTTTTCCTCCCTTCAGAAAAGGACAAAGACGTAAAATGACAGCATAAATGCATACACCGGCCCAGGTGTATAGGATTTTGTACATGAGTAGACTGTATCCATTCAACAATGATGTACTCCAAAGTTATTTTCAAAAAGTAACATTTGGAAAATGTGCTAAAACTATGCTCTTATGTGCCACTTTTTTCACACCTCACATAAAAATGTGGATTTTATGAGAAGAATATGCAACAAGTGAAAAATGAATACAATAGAGCTAGCATAATGGACGAATACAGCTCATAATAACTAAACATACACATTAGTTGTTGCTTAAAGGAATGCTAATTTTAAAAAATGGATGACAATTTATAATTTATGTGCATGAAATCAGGAAAAAATAATTCTGTAGTTACATTTTCATTAGAATTGAGTAAATTTTAATGGAGTAATTAAATATAAGTAATAACAAAGTGCTAGTTAAATCATAGAAATTAGAATTAATATTACTAGAGTTTAAATCTAGTTTTATGTCCCCAATGCTTTATACTTAATGAAGCAAAAAGTAAGTACATGTAGCTTCTGCTCTGAATTAACAAATCAATGATTCATTCTAATAAATAACAAATAATTCATTTTAAAATATCATGTTTAAGTTTTTCTGTTTTGTTTTTCAATATTTCCTTATGTATCCTATATTTTTCAATAATCTACATACACTGGTTCATCTTTCCATCTGTATATCCAACACGTGTTTCTTATACACTAGGACTACTGCTAAGCATCAAAATTACAACAGGAATATACAGTAATTTTCAGGAGACAATGTACTTGCACATACACAATTTCACTTAGATTTTAATATGGACTAAATCTCAATAATTATATAACCATGCATAATTTTAAAAGATTACCAGAAATTTTCAAATAGGCACTCACTAAGAGAAACAAGATAGGTTATGTAAAACAAAATGGTTTTTGATCATTGTTAGGTCAGCTAATTAAAAAGAAGAGCATGAAAGGGAGAATTGTAAGATTTAGAAAAACATGGAAATGTGAAATATGTCCACTAGCCACGAAACAAGCTATGGCAAAACCAATGCTGTATACTAAAATATTCAAATCCATTCTTACGTTGTTTTTACAAAATACCAAATGAATGATGAATATGCATATATATAATTGCCTATTTGTTATTTAAGATGAGAGGCATCATCTGCGGGCACTACTAGAAAGAATGCATATTATAGTTATTTAAAGAAAAAAGCAGCACTATTACTATTGTGTAAAATTTGTTGTCCTTCTTTGCAATCACCCCCCAAAATCTCAAGAACAAGCTTATGCATATTTCTCCTATTTGAAATACACATGCTTTTCAGTTTCTTTATTTGAAACCTGTGAATTTTTTAAAATTTCATTATAAAGGATTCTCAAAAATTTATTTATGGGGTTTGGAGATGTCACTCAATGGTACAGCACTTGCCTAGAAGGCAGGAGGCTCTCGATTTGATCCCCAATATCACTTCCATGATCATTTATCCATAATTTTTTTTAAATTTTGCCATTGTTACTCCTCTGTCTAAATTTACATGTTGGCCAAAGCATTCATCTTAAAAAGCACGTCCCAAATTCTATAAATCACTGCTTAAGAACATTTACCATTTGTATTCTTCTTATTTTCCAAAAATTATCACCTGAATTCTTTTGCATCATGGAGAAAGGCTCAGGTGTACGTAGGCCTGTCGTATTTTCCCCATTGCTTCTCTTAATTATCCCATTCAGAGTTTGATCCTGCCCATTCATCCATCTATGTCTTTACTGTTTTCTTTCCTCCTCCTATGACAGTCTCAGAATGCTATTCATCTCCCTCATCCAATTTAAATATACTTTGTTTCATAAAGATTTCCACATCAAAATAACTTCTCCCAAGACCTCTCTCCTCCAAGTTCTCTCTCTCTCTCTCTCTCTCTCTCTCTCTCTCGTGCTACTTTCATCTGTTCTTCTAATAGAATGGGATTTCTCATATCCTACTATCCTACTTTTGTTACAAAACCCTTAAAGGAAAATCATATCTTATTTAGTGACCATTTCTTTATCCATAACTTATAACAATTTTTGTAATGACTGGTGTAATTATAAAACCTAATAAAACAATTTGTTTTCAAAGAACTGTGATTGAGTGGTAGTTCTAATCTTACACTCAAATATTCTGTCCTTTCCCTATAAAATGTGACTCCCAAAGTAACACTCAACAATTGCTACCTTTGAAGTTCCTGTAATAATAGGTTAAATAACAGCCATTATCAGACACAAATATATTAAGGAAAATCAGAATTTTCCACAGCTTGGTATTGATAAATCTGCTTCTTGGAGGAAGAACACATTTCAAATGGCTTTCAGTCACATCTTTCCAAAAGCCTACAGTATCCAATCCCATTAATCCTCAATTTTTGTCTACAATTATTTTATGTTTACAGAGACAGAAAAAGGAATACTACCATGAGAATGCAAGAGAAAAAAAATGAATGCAAGAATACCACAGCTATGCTATGCATTGTGATTGCTATAGGATATATACTTAAAGACTATTCAATATCATGGCCTGTATGTTCAATTTGTCTTTAAATTATTGAGCCCATAGAAAATCGGAACACATTGATTCATGGAACATAAATTAAGGCAAAAATAATAAAGTTTTTAAATGTACCAACTATCGGCACAATACCAGAGCAAATAGATAGCTAAGTTTAAAAGTAACACAGAATGTGTAATGGTCTGCAATAATATATTCCCGATATTTTTCTGGTTGTTTTAATATTGTATAGGGTTCTTAAAGAGTCACTCAATACGTTTTCTCTTCCATCACATTCAATATAATAATTTTTGATAGAAAAATCCACTAAATATCCATTGACTATTGTGTTAAATTTTCTTCTCTAGAGAATTTGATGTCCCCAATTAAGAAAACCAGTTTTGAGAGACTGAATCTTAAATATAAAAAATTTGTTCCCTTAAGATAATAAAGCATGTCTTTTGAACAGACTTATTTTCATAAAACTATCAATGAATGAAATATACATAATGTTAAATTTTAATGAAAGTTAGCAACATTCTTTCCATGTGGTTTGCTAATACTCATACTGCCTTCATATATAAATGTCCTAAGTGGTATACTTTACAAAACAAACTTTTTCTTTTTTCTTTTTTTCAGTGCTGGAGATGGAACTCAGGACCTTGTTCATACTAGGCAAGTGCTCTGCCACGGAGCTACATCCCAAGCTCCTCACACTATATTTTTTTTTTTCAAATTCAGATTAAAAGTGAAAATGTGATGAAAATATTTTAATGTAGTCAAAAACTTCATCCTGTGAAATCCTCAGTTGTATACATTTTAAAATACATTTCATTAAAGTCCATATAAAATAACACCTTTAGTTTATTTTAATGCGTTCATATTTGTTCATATTTTTATAACTTATTGCAATATTTCTCAAAATACTGTGCGTGAAATACCAGCTTCAAAATAATCTGAAGCACCAGTTTTAAATGCTGGGACGTGAAAACTCCACTTTGGCCCAGCTAGATCATAATCCCTTGGAGTGAAGAAACAGAGAGCATGCATTTAAAAACAAGTTTGCCCCCAAGTGATATTGACGTACATCAGAGTTGAGAAACCTATGCCTCATATTCTCTAAAACCATGCCTCATATTCTCAGTGTTGTATGTTCAAAAGAAAAGTTGTCAATGGTTTCTTCCATTTTTTTTCTCCAAATGCTTATTCTTAGGATTTCTAAAGTTCCACTCAGCACAAAAATCAAACCTGTTTTCAAATCTCATTTCAGCTCAAGTAACAAATGAAAGGGGTCATTTATCTCATCATTCCCTGGTGCCCTAAAAAGCTTTGTGGGCAAAAGTCTCTGACACACTCTCTGCACCTCAGAATACTGACCTCTGCTTTCCACAGGTCAGAATAGTGAATCCCGCCAGCATTCACATAAGCCCTAAGTGACACACAGAACACTAGCCTTGGACTCTCCTGGCAGAGCTGCCCCTTTCTAGAGAAGGCCTGCAGCTCGGGCCCTCTCCTTCTCTGGGTAGGCAGGGCTCCGTCAGCACCCTGGACAGCGACCGGCAGAGCTGAAGGCAGGTTCTCAGGGTTCAGAAGCCTGCCTAACTTAGGAAAGAAGCTGAGACCCATGAACTGACCTGAGTCACACCTAGTATACACAAGCCACCCCTCCACACACCTCCCCCCCTCCTCTCAAGCTACCAGTATTTCTTTCCAAATGACAACAAAGGAAACCTTAAGTACCTCTTACCTAGAATATACGAGCCACCCCCACATCTCGCCTCACTCCCCGGTTCCCCAGCGCCTGTTGCTAAGGAGGCTAGACGGCACTAGGCAAGCCTAGCGACCAGGTGACAGCCCGCTGGAGGAGCTCTGAGCACGAGGGCGGCTGTGAGAGCAGGGCTCTAGGCCAGCCCGGGACCCCTTCTGCAGGCAGGGTGCGCCCTCCGCAAGGTTCCAACGCCTGCAACACCCCCATACACACTCAGCATGTGAAGGAAGCCGGGTTAGCAAAAGGCCCGCGCCCAGGAGCGCGGCTCCCTTCCCGGGCCCAGGAAACTCCGCCGGGTTCCGGAGGCCTCTGGCCCAGCACTGTGGATGCCAGCGGGCCCAGACAGCAGGGTAGGACCTCAGAGACAGCCTTGGGAAGGGCAGGCACTCACCATGTTGACTTCAGAAACCATGTCGATGCTGGCGATGTCGATGTTCATCCCCACGCAGACTGGGGGACCTGCGGGAAGCGCACCACACGGTGATCAGCCAGGCTCCGGTAAGGGGTGCGGGCGGCTCTGAGAATGGGGGACTATCCCGGGAGGGGGCGCAGATGAAATACAACCCACCCCCCCCCACTCCGCTGCAGCTTAGCGGATGCGGCCCCCGCCTCTCTCTTCTACCCAGGCCGCCAACGCGGTGGGTTGCGCTTCCCGCAACGACAGCGCGCATCCCACTTACCCCCAAAGTCGGGTCTTAGGCGAATGTCGTAGCCTTTCAACAGCTTGTCCACCGTCTCCTTCACAAAGGACATGTTCCCGGGATCGTTCACGCTGGGGGGAAAAGGAGGGAGGCACAGAAAGCAGGGTCAGGCGGTGGCTCACTCGCCAGCGCCCGGCGCGCACACCGTGCGCCCTGCCCGCCGCCCGGCCCGCTTCCCGTCAACCCACCCGCGACCCTACCTCTGGGCGCAGCAAACCACAGCCACCAGCACTGGGGCCGAGAAGATGCCGAAAAGCCTTCCTCCCGCAAAGCCCCACATCCCTCCGCCGCGCCCCGGCACGGGGGAGGGGGCGCCCCGCCGCCGTCGCGACCCGCAGCCGGGGCTGCTCCTGCTGCTGCCGCCGCCGCCGCCGCCGCCGCGCTGGCCGGGAGCGGAGGAGGGCGGAGGGGGAAGGGGAGTAGAGGAGGGGGAGGAGCGGGCGCGGGGAGGGGAGGAGCAGCGGGCGCGGGAGCGGAGGGAGGGGGAGGAGGCAGGACGAGTCGGAGGCGGAGCTGGCCGCGCCAAGCTCCTGGCCCTCCCCCGCGCTCWCTGCTGCCCCGCGGCCCCGACCCTAGGCGCCCTCTCCCACCTCGGCAGCCGCCACGCAGGACTCGGAGCGCAGAGGCTATAGGGTGTAGCGGCCGGCCCGGCGGGACACTGCGGGCCGAAGCCGCGGCTGCGCGGCGCCAGGCGGGGCCGGGAATCGGCCACCAAGCCAGCAACTCTGGGCTCCTTGCGGCAGGGCGAGGGAGGGGACCCGCAGCTACCGCCGCGCGAGCATCCGCAGCTAGGGAAACGCTACCCACATCCTTCAAACCCCATTCCGAGCCTCTCAACCCGACCCCCAATCAGTTTCAGTACAGCCCGGAGCCGGGGGGTGCCATACTGCGCCTCCGGCTGCGGATCTACGCAATACTGCGTCCGGAGGGAGGCTGCGGAACCCCGGGAAGCCCCCGCCTCACCTGCGGGGCTCAGAGCCTTGGGTCTCCAAGGTCCAGGAAAGCCAAATTGGCAGCAGGAGGGCCAGGAACCCAGAGCACATGGCGCTGCTCCTGTGGCCTAACCTGGGTGGGATCCGCTCTTCCCTACAGTCACCCAGCATTCAAACGACGACGTGGGGATCCCCGCCCCTACCCCCACCCCCGGGCTTTCCCGCCTGACCCATCTTCCAGCCCCTTGCATGGCGGCCCAATTATTTATTTATAAAATATAACCATGTTAAAAAATTGGTTCCTTAACTATCCTTTCAACCTCACCCCTGAACAAGTCAAGAGATCCCTGAGTTCTTCCTGCTCATATAAATGCAATTAAATGAATGGTAAAAAGAATGTTGAATATTCATCTTTTATATCAGTAAACTGGAATCCAAATCAGACTTGGAGACTCTGGACTCTTACGTCAGGAATGGGAAGATAATGTGCCTTTTCTGCAGCAGCCAGGAGCTGTCCGTGGTTCTTAATATAAGTCCAGAATCCTCCTTTTCCCTATGACAGGCCTCCATCCTTTAGCTCTCATTAAAAACAAAAACAAGACAAAACAAAACAAAAAAAAAAAAAAAACAACCAAAAAAACCTCTGGTACAGTGGCCAAGAAACAAACTGGTGTACACCAGTTTCCAACCTTCCCCGTGTACCACCACTGTGTGCCTAAGGGGTGCTCACCCATGGCCAGGGATTGTTTATTTTTCTTTAGTGAAGATTCTCAATACAGTTTCCCTGTACCCCAGACTACTAATATTGAGGAAGATGATTACTCAATCCATCTGTGGTCAGCCAACAAAACCCACAGATGAAGCTCAATGTTGGATTCTATAGACTTCTTCAGGCCATTCCAGGACTTAATGAACAGTTAATAATACACAACTACTTTCCAGTATAGACAAATGTTTTCTGTAATGCTTTTTTTTTCTATCATGGTGGCTTTATATAGGTAAATATCTAAATCTAAACCTTCATTCTCAAGTTGGAATGTTTCTGTTCATTAATTTTAAATATCTTTGCCTTTTCTAAAAATTAGCATTTTTATTTTTGGAATGGCAAATGCCGCTGCAGTACCTGAAAGATTTAGAGATAAATATAGCTCCCTAATTATTTTCTGGAAAAGTCTATTCACAACTGCTTCATATTCTGTGTCCTTTTAAGTGCAATGAAATCATCTGCAAAATGATAACACTGCTAACACACACACACACACACACACACATACACACCTATATTCATGATTTAATCTATTTCTCTTGTTTGCACACACTTCTATAGAAGCACCCTGCTGGGGATCATAACTATCAAAGGTAAACAATGCAAATAAGGTGTTTGAATAAAACCCAATAACAGAAAGAATTGTCCCCCTCATTGCTGATTTATATGCTCTAAGACTTGCAAAAACACACTACAAGTGTTATTATTATCCAGCTGTGCACTACCTTGGATCTTATTGGCTTGGATCTCTGTGTCTCTCTCCTTCTCTCTGGTTCTTGACTTTATTTTTCACCCCTGTTGCTGCCTCAGCACCCAGTTCTGCAGGAGCTCTGATCAGTTTTAAATGGAAACAAGCCTTTATGGCTCATCTCATGTCCCTATTGCTTGCCACCATTTCCCACCTTCCACTCTCTTAACTTATAAAGAGATCTAAGATGGCACAGGACCTGTTCAGTACCTATATATGTATAATCTAAAATTCCAAGCAAGTTAGAACCTCATAGTGTGGACCTTTGTCTGATGGAAGATAGAAGTCAGTGGATAAAAGCTTCCCCTTTATTGTTTTCTAAGAAATGTCCTGAGAGACAGTAGTTATTGGTCTCTCAAATTTGATCTTGTGAGATAGATCCACCAGTTGTGCTTCATACTCAGCATTGGCCTGCTTTGTGACACATGTTTCACTGTTCCCTCTTTCTATTCCTCCATCCCTTTTATCTTCACTCCTGTTTTCATTAGTAAAGCACACCACTTACATTTTGTCTTAAGATATGTCTTCTAGGGAACCCAAGCTAAGTTAAGAATCAACTGACAAGTCATGAAAATATCACTTATAAAACAATTTTTTAAATAAGAAAGCAAAAGAAAAAAGAACTTGTTAGTGTATACAGGTATGATCCAGATGCACAAGGCTCTAAGGCCTTCACATAGTGGCACACACCTCCTCAGTACACTCACTGCCTGATTTGTGCATACACCCACAATAAAGGCCAGATGTGCAAGTCCTCAGCATCCACTTCAGGGTCAGCTCCCTGCACATAAACAGCTATCTGGGAGGTTACTGAGCACTGAACACCAAGCACCCACATGCTTCGGCTCTCTTACCAGGGTTACTGAAATCAAGAATATTTCCATAACTTAATGAGGTGGTGATTTTGTATTAGCCAATTCAGCAGGAAACATAATCAAATTCTTATTATCATTTATTTTTCACTGAAAGAAAAAAGACTCTAGGTGCCCAAAATGAGTAAATATTCATGGTAAAAGAAAAGAAAGCAAATGCCATTTTGTTTGTAATAAAATGATATTAAACCAGCTACAAGAATCATTTTGAGCTTCTATGCCTTCGATGTAGTGTGCTCCTCAAAGAGCTCATGAGTTATCTTGGTCCTCATTGTAGCAGAGTTGGGAGATCACAGAACTTTTAAGAGGTAGGGACTAATGGGAAGTATTTAGGTTATTAATGCATCAATCTCATAAGGAATTAATATAATTCTCATGGGACCTGGTTTGTTTTCTGGAAAGAGTTGTTACTAAAGAGTAGCCTAAGGGGCTGGGGATAGAGCTCAGTGGTAGAACACTTGCCCGGCATGTACAACATGCAACACCCTGGGTTTCACCCCAGCACCAACACCCCCCCCCAAAAAAAAAGGAAAGAGAGAAAAGAGGAAAGAGAAGAGAAAGAAAAGAGTGAGCCTGCCACCTCCCCTCATTCTGGCTTTCTATTTGTCAATATGATTTCTTCCTCTCACATATGTCCCCACCATTGCAATGCTATCCACCACTGGCCTTTATAAGATCTGTGCAAGTGACAGTGCCATGCCCTTGAAACTCAAAAACTGTGAACTAAATAAGCCTCTTTTCTTTATAAAATATTCATTCTTGGGTGTTTTGTAATAGTAACAAAACAAATTAGCACATCGTCTCTTAAGATAGAAAGGAAGAAAGAAGCACATAACTGGGAGTTAACACATAATCAACTTCACCTAGGCTATGCTTGTGAGTTTTTGGATGACCCAAAGGCCATGAACCAAACTTTTTAAGTTGTCATATTTGCCTCTTAATTATATAAAGTTAACCTTTTTTATCAATATTATGAAAGTTTTTGACTATATATTTTAAAGCTCTTTTAAAAATTATTCAAGTTAGACATGGTGGCACAACCCAATATGTTGGCTACACCAGAAGATCAGACAGGGGAACCTCAAGGTTAAAACTAACCTGGCAACTTAATGAGGTTCCGTCTCAAAATAAAATAAAAGGGTAGAGTGCTTGCTTGAGTGAGGTCATGGGCTCAATTCTCAGTACTGAAAAAAGAGTTCTTCAACTTGAGGTATAGCATTTTGAAAAATAGTACATGTACAGTTAGATATATCTTCACAAATGCATGAAGTGGTGAACATTTTTATCATCTCCAAAGTTCCCATGTAAACTTTAACCTGCAAGCCACTTCCAGTTCTACATAAGCTCTCTCATTATAGATTTTAAGTCTCTCCTTGGACTAAATATTCTTTATAAGTAGAATTATGAATTATTTGCAATATTATGCCTGATTTCATTAATTTAGTGTGTTTCCAAGATTTATCTATGTTGCTACAGCTCCATAGTTTGTTCTTTTTTATTGCTGAATAGTATTCCACATATGACAATTTCACAACTTGTTTATTTATTTATCTGTTGATGGAAATTTCAAGTCTTAATGATTTTTAATAGAGTTATATACAAGTCATTGTAATGACATACAGTTTTATTCCTCTTGGATTAATACCTAGGAATAGAGTGAATCACATAGTTCAGTGCATGTTTAGCTTTATAAGGAACTGCCAAAATATTTCAAAGAAATGGAAGGACTTTACATTTTGCCAACAATGCACAAAGAATTGTCTAAGTCATACCTTCTCTATCACCCTAATAAGTGACAGGCCATTGTATGTATAATGTACTTTTCACTAATGGCAAGTAAGTACCTAAACACGCACATTTCATTTGCATATTGGTCATTCATACCTTCTCTTTTAAAAAATAGATTTTATGTATGTTTTAATTGCATTCTCTATCTTTTTTATAGAACTAGAAGAATTCTTAGTATATTCTGAATACAAGTCCTTTGTCAGATATATATGATATGAACATTTTCTCTCAGGCTGTGGCCTCCCTGTTCCATTTTTAAATAGTGTATTTCAAAGAAAATAAGAATTTAATTTAGATGAAGTTTAATTTATTGTTCTTTTTATTTTATGATTTAGACTGTTGGCATTCTACCTTTTAAAATTTTGCCTAATCAAAAGTTAAGATATTCTTTATCTTTTATTTCAAAAGCCAGCATTTATTTAGATCTGTCATATGTTGTAGAATTATTTTTTAATGATATGACAGTGGTCAAGGTTCTCTTCTTCCGTGTGGATATCCAATTGATTCCACATAACTTGTTGGAAACACATTATTCTTTACCCCTGTGTTAGTCAGCTTTTCCATCACTGTCACTGAAATACCTGAAAAGAACAACATAGAGAAGGGAAAGTTTATTGTGGCTTATGGTATTTAGTCCATGGTTGCTGACCCCATTGCTCGGGGCTCAAGGTGAGGCAGAACAGTGTGACAGAAGGGCCTTCAGGAGGAAATCTACCCAGCTGCTGATGGAGGCCAGGAAGCAGAGAAAGTCAAGGGAAAGGACCCCAGGAAAGGCAAACCCTTCAGGGCATACCGCCGCATACATCTTCCAGCCATGCCTCACCTGCCTACAATTACCAACCTAGGATTCAAGCTAGGACAGGCTAACTAGGTTAAAACTCTTACAATTCAATCGTTTCACATTCAAAATTTCTGCATTAACACAGGACCTTTTGGGGGACATCCCATATCCGAATCACAATACCCCCACTGAGTCTCCCTTATATTTTTATTAAA